TGTGTGTGTGTGTGTGTGTGTGTGGGGTGGGGGGGGGGGGGGGGGGTAGGATGCATGAGAGTGCTCTATTCACACAATTCAATTCAGTTTATTTCTAAAGCTCCAAATCACAACAGAAGTTGTCTCAGGGCACTGTCCAGAATAATTCATAAAAAGAAGCCAATTAATGTTCTCTAAGGAAGCCTGCAGATATGTTGAATCTCCACTTCATGGCAGTCTCCCATACTAAGCAAGCACAATAACAATAATGTGTTATGTGTTGTCATCATTGTATGTTCCCATACAATGGAGAAATTGTCTCTCTGCATTTGACTCATTCACCCCCAGGTGGGGCAGTGGGCAGCTATTGGGAATGCCCGGGGAGCAATTGGGGATGGGGTGTCCTGCTCAGAGACACCACAATAAGTGCAGTGACTGGTGCTTGAGCCTGGGACTTTCAGGTCCTTTGTCAGCTGCCCTGCCTCTACCCCGTCTCGGCCTCCACAAAGGAGACAGTGGAAAGGAAAATCTCCTTTTAACAGGAAGAAACTTCCAGCAGAACCAGGCTCAGGGTGAGCGACCATCTGCTTCACAAGGAGAGCAGTCTGCTTGTTGCTCTTTAAAATAGTTATTGAATCAAGTGTTTTCTTATGAAGGTAAACATATGTTTAACAACCCATTAAAATACACCAGAATGCAGGAAATGACATCTATTTTATTCAAAAATTTCTGAGGGAGGACCCCCCAGACCCCCTACCAGTGCCCCCCCCCCCACACACACACACACACACACACACACACACACGTTACAAATGTTTTTGTCACCAATGGCCACTGCATTGCTCAAGCCAAGAGCCATTGTCAGCACTGGGGGCTAAGTGCCCCTGAAAGGTCAGATTCTAGCATCATCCCTGGTTTGGATACTGTAGCTCCAGGTGACGCTGCAGCGTCGGACGCGCTGCAACACCCCACACACGCGCTCTCTCTCGCACGCGCGCACTGGGCAGAACAAATTCACCTGATGCGTTTGAACACGGGATCAGGATCCACGCACAGGCTGTGCATAAATCCTGAGGAGTCAGTGACAAACTGGGCGGGTTTTTTTTTTCTTCCTTTTGGTTTTCGCGCGGTGGTTGTTGTTTCCCCCTGGTGTTTGGGTGAATTTGGACTTCGGTGTCCTCCGTGGAATAGTTGTTTCTTGCAACTCATCATATCATCCACCATCTGATTTGTTTCTTTTTTTTTCTTTCTTTCTTTGTGAAGAAATGGTTTGGAATTGGGAAAGATTTGGAGGTATATTTGGAACTCTTTTACGCACGGAGTACTCCAAAACGCCACTGCTTTACAAAGTCATGCAGAAGAAAATGTGCCTGTAAGTTTGACACCGAATAAATTTGTATGATTTCCTACTTAACATTTTTGTGACATATAAATTACGCACACACTTAGAACATTGATGCGTAACACAAATCTGGATCATCTGGATTTTATTTATTTCAGACACTCAACTCATTTTCTGGTGTTGGGATCCAGAATGTGTGGTAACTCGAAAATAAACTCTTAATCGTGTTAAAGTCTGAAACGAACAACTTTGATTTTGACCTTCAGGGGAAACGTTTTGTTTTGCACGGATTGTTCACTGGTTTTACGCACGACTGCCGTCCTCAAACGCTGCTATGAAAGGAGGGAAGCGCAACGCGAGGGGACAGGGGGGGTGTCAGGAGGACTTCAGCTGTCAGGGACAGGTCTGGTCCCGCAAATAATCGCGGAGCCAGCATGCCCTCTTGGACCACTGACTCGGTGTGTCTCTTCCAGAACTGCAGCTGGGAGGAAACCTCCAACAGCAGCGCAGACCGTCCTGCTCCTCCGCTCAATTATTACTCCATCCCTCTGCTCGCAGTCATCACTGTCGCGTGCGCGCTGCTCTTTCTGGTCGGAGTGACCGGAAACGTGATGACCATCCTGGTGGTCAGCAAGTACCGGGACATGCGCACTACCACCAACCTGTACCTGTGCAGCATGGCTGTGTCGGACCTGCTGATCTTCCTCTGCATGCCTCTGGACTTGTATCGTATGTGGAGGTACCGGCCCTGGCGCTTCGGGGACGCGCTCTGCAAGCTCTTTCAGTTCGTGTCCGAGTCGTGCACCTACTCCACCATCCTGAACATCACTGCGCTGTCAGTGGAGCGCTACCTGGCCATCTGCTTCCCGCTGCGCGCCAAAGCTCTGGTCACCAAAAGACGTGTACGCGCACTCATTTTCATTCTTTGGACTGTGTCCCTCGCGAGCGCAGGCCCCGTGTTTGTCATGGTGGGAGTGGAGAGGGACACAACGAACCTCGGGTCCTGGGTGAATGAGACGGGCCTGTTTGTGGACATTGTGGACACCCGAGAGTGCAGGATGACGCACTATGCCGTGGAGTCGGGCCTGATGGGGGCCATGGTGTGGCTGAGCTCCGTGTTCTTCTTCATGCCGGTGTTCTGCCTGACTGTACTCTACAGCCTGATAGGCCGTAAGTTGTGGCAGAGACACAGGGAGACAAACATGAGCTCTCGAGTGTCTCACAGGGACAAGAGCAACAGACAGACCATCAAGATGCTGGGTAAGTTAAAAGGCAAGTTACGCCAAAAGCACTTGATTTAATTGGCTGATTGTTATCCTCTCTTTGTCACCCCCCACCCCCACCCCTCCTCTCTTTAAGTGGTGGTCGTGCTGGCCTTTGTCCTTTGCTGGTTACCATTCCATGTTGGTCGATACCTGCAGTTCCGCTCCCTGGACGCACCGTCCCCGCTGCTCTCCGTCTTGTCCGAGTACTGCAGTCTGCTGTCCGTGGTCCTCTTCTACCTGAGCGCCGCCATAAACCCCATCCTCTACAATACCATGTCCTGGAAGTTCCGGCGGGCGGCCGCACGTGTCTTTGGCCTGGAGGACAAGCAGCCGAGCCGATGCCGCACAGCCAGCAGTCTGAAGGGAGACAGCTCATGCGTGTGGGCAGAATCCACAGTGAGCTTATGAACCGTTACCACAGAGGACCAGATGTTTGGACTGAAGTATTTGAATTCAAAGGCAGTGCTGGCCCGAGCCTTCCCTCTACTACTGCAATCAACAGTCAGATGATCAGATCATTCGCTCACCTAACATAAACTCACTGCAACTCTGACATCTCTGTTTACATTATCATATATGTATATATATATATATATATATATATATGGTAGTAAAAGTAACAAAAGAAAAAAAATCACCAGTATGTAATGCATTTTACAGCAAAAGTGTCATCTGGTTTATTATCTTTGGTTCCAAAGAACTGCAACAGTAATGTTCAAAATAATTTGTATCACAAGATCAACAACAAACAATACATAAAATAACTTAGATGCATAAAAATAAATTAAATTGTACAAAACCAGACAAAATAAAATAAAAAATATATGTATAAAGGAAATACTTCATCCATCTATCCATTATCTTTACCCGCTTCTTCCAATTTGGGTCACGGGGGTCGCTGGTGCCCATGTCCAGCAATCACTGTGTGAGGGGCAGGGTACACAAGTCCATTACAGGGCCACATAGAGACAAACGAGACAAACAACCATTCACTCTCTCACTCACACCTAGGGACAATTTAGAGTTACCAATCAGTCTAACATGCATGTTTTTGGTCTTTGGGAGGAAACCCACGCAGCATGGAGAGAACATGCAAACTCCACCCAGAAAGGGCCATGGACTGGGGTTTGAACCAAGGACCTGCTCACTGAGAGGCAGCAGCTCTACCAGTTGCGCCACTGTGCTGCCCTCAAGGAAATACTTAAATAATGTAAATGAACAATTACTTAAAACCACATAAAATGGTTTAAAAAATAAATTTAAAGTTGAATAATTACCTCTTAAAACTATGTAAATGTATGCAACAATTTGCAAAAGCTGAACTTAAAATATTTGGTTTTAGACCCTTCTCAGTTAGTTATTGACAACAAGCTCTGGTGGCCATCTTAAATAAATGTTAATTAACTGTAGATGCACATCCAGTGAATATATTTTGAGTTTCATTGAAATCTGTCCAGTTGCACATGAGATGTTATGCTAACAGACAAATGGATCATCATCAATTAACATCAAAGTTCGAAACAAAAATATTGCAAAATGTCTAGCATTTATATAATGTATTGGAGATGATGGTCACCTACTACCACACACATTTTAGATTAACATCTGTAAAACTGACTGACTTGTAGCCATTTTTGAGTTTCCTAAGGTCATGGCTGTGGCAGCCATGTTGAAATGTGATGACTTCAACTCAGTCACTTGTAGATGTACACCCAATACTGGTATTTTTGAACATTTTAATAAAAAAATGTCCAGTGGTTTATGAGATATTTTGCTAACAGACCTACTCAGTTGTCTACAATTGTTAATGGCAAAGTTTTAAAACAGATCTTGTGCAAGCCAGTTAGCACTTGGAGCATAAGCTGTTGATAACCCTCAGCTACTACCAGTTAACACTTTAGCTCAGTATCTGTTAAACTAGCTGACTGATAGCCTAGCTTGTATTGGCTGAGGATGCAGCCATTTTGAATTAGATTGGCTCCAAAAATTAATTAGCCACATTTTATTACTTTTTATTGGACTTTTATTTAACCTGGTCAAATGTTTAAGAACAAGTTCTGATTTACAAACTTTTAATAATTTCTTCCTGAGAGTTTCAATAAACTGTTACTGTGAGACGTCTTGCACGAGCAAAACCACAACTGTGCTCTTCAGAGACGGGCGGTAAATGTTGCAGTTGTTTCAGCAAGTGCCACGCAATGCGCCACAATCAGAAGAAACAAGAAGCAGGAGAGTTGCTGGAAGTCTTCTTGTCCAAACATTAACATCACGTGCACGAACATCTACAAATGCGTTATACCAGGGCTTCAACAGGTGGCCCGCGGGCCGGAAGTAGTCCGTGGGTGACTTCAGTCTGGCCCACCGATGAGTTCATTGAAAATATATATATATTTATTTGGGTTCTGTTTATTGCATTTATGACTGAATGCACCAAAATAAACAAAACTAAAAGATAACAGATCACTTTAAAATTTGTTTTGTTTACATAATGACAGTAATTTCTGGATGTCCGGCCCCTGAGCAGTTCTGTTGAAGAGCCCTGATTTTTACTCTGGATGACAAGGAAAGCACTGTAGAGTGTGTGTGTGGGGGGGGGGGGGGGGGGGGGTTTCGGTTGTTATGAATATTTCCACCCATCCATTTTCTTTACCCCCTAATTCCATTTTGGGTCACTGG